CTTGGTCGTTATTTTGAAAAACAAAAACTTACATTTAACGAACAAAAAATGCTCCAAACGTTTTTCTAAATTAACCTAATAAAAAAACTAAACAAAATATTATCACTTTATCATTACATACAAAACTGAACTATTTTAATAGCTGAAACAGTAGTAAGCTGTTTTGGGAGTAGGGAAAAAAAGTCGGGCTTGGGTCGGACTCGGGCCAAGAATTCTGAAGAGCTGTCAGACAAGGGCCAGGCTAGGGTCTGAGCATCTCGGGCCAGGGTCGGGCTAGGGCCTATATTTGAGGACGACGAGAGACAAATCTACTTCAACATATGGTGATAACGGTATATAGCTAACTGTTTTAATTTATTCCCTTACTATATATATATATATATATATATATATATCATGTGGCCCGTACATAGTGGGAAAAAAAATTAGAAGAAATGTATTTTGTGTTAAACAGGTTGTTTTTGAAAGTCGGTGCTTGAAATAAAGCTTTTTATTTCATTGATTTTTATTGAATCATTTAGTGAATCAGGTGCTAGAACAATGCAGACTGTGCATGTAAATAAATGACACAGCGGATGCAATTCATTCTTAGTGAATTTTCCCTTATCTGACTGGCTTTTATTAAAACAAGCTGCCTCGTATGATAACAGCATGTCTGTATATTTATTTGAGAGCTGCGAGCCTTTTTTAAGGCTAATTCAAAAGGCTCCGACAGCACAATTATCAACTGTAAATGTGCTGAAATGCGTTTTCGCGACCGGCCGATAGGGATAGGTGACATGCCGCAGAGATGCGGTCTTCGCTCAAAGTTAACAATCCTTTTCACAACCTCTGAGGGACATCTTAACGCTTCATAGGTTAAGGTTTCATGAAACTGTAGTGATATTTATACATATTTAAATAGAGAAAACTGACAAAGTACTATTCGATGCTAAATAAAGTGCAATTCCAAACAAGCAAATCAACAGATGCTGTGGTCATGAAAGCTCATCTCTGCTGAGTCTCCTAACACCCTCTTCCTTCGCCCCCCTCCCCACTTCCTGCAGGCGGCAGATGGCATCATCTAAGCCCCACTGTGCACATTAAATAATTAAAACTCTCATCAGGACCTGGACACACATTGTCGAGAGTGGCATTGAGCCAGACTGCGGAAATCACCATTTGGCAAGACAAGTCAAAAAGGAATGGAATAAAGCTTTTTATTTCATTGATTTTTATTGAATCATTTAGTGAATCAGGTGCTAGAACAATGCAGACTGTGCATGTAAATAAATGACACAGCGGATGCAATTCATTCTTAGTGAATTTTCCCTTATCTGACTGGCTTTTATTAAAACAAGCTGCCTCGTATGATAACAGCATGTCTGTATATTTATTTGAGAGCTGCGAGCCTTTTTTAAGGCTAATTCAAAAGGCTCCGACAGCACAATTATCAACTGTAAATGTGCTGAAATGCGTTTTCGCGACCGGCCGATAGGGATAGGTGACATGCCGCAGAGATGCGGTCTTCGCTCAAAGTTAACAATCCTTTTCACAACCTCTGAGGGACATCTTAACGCTTCATAGGTTAAGGTTTCATGAAACTGTAGTGATATTTATACATATTTAAATAGAGAAAACTGACAAAGTACTATTCGATGCTAAATAAAGTGCAATTCCAAACAAGCAAATCAACAGATGCTGTGGTCATGAAAGCTCATCTCTGCTGAGTCTCCTAACACCCTCTTCCTTCGCCCCCCTCCCCACTTCCTGCAGGCGGCAGATGGCATCATCTAAGCCCCACTGTGCACATTAAATAATTAAAACTCTCATCAGGACCTGGACACACATTGTCGAGAGTGGCATTGAGCCAGACTGCGGAAATCACCATTTGGCAAGACAAGTCAAAAAGGAATGGAAGGCAAAAAGAGTAGAAAGAGTGAGAAAGAGAGAAGATTTCTCTGTGATTTAAAAGAGGGTGTGGTTTCTTTACTTTTTTATTCTCCACACAGTTATGTTTTTTTTTTCATAACTTTAGTTGTGTGGTAACTGCAGTATGCAGTGTTTAAAGACTTTAGGATAAAAACATAATATTTTAAACCTGTTTTGCTGCAGCACATAACAGATTTTCAGTCCCTTTTCATTTTTTTTTTTTTGCCTTTTGATTCATGTTGGCTCATAAAAACATGAACTGAGCATCACACAGTGGCATTTCCACCGAACATGTGGCCACCTGTGGACTACAAACAGTGTAGCCTGGGCCTCCGCCTGGTTTTACAAAGAAGATAAATAATACAAGCTCAGGGTGGATGTACAAAACAGCATTCTCTGTTATATCAAACCTCATAACCTGTTTATCTGCTTTGATTGATAGATTTCAGATGTGTGCAGTGTGGGTAGGCGGTTTATGGTGATTTTATATACATCCTGCACAAGCAGGAAGCTGTTGCCGGAGAGGAGGAAAGCCCTGTGGTTACAGAAGGCAAAATGGTTTAGAACTCCAACACAGGCCTGCAAATCTAAGCAAGACAGCCTTGTTATGAAACCTACTGAAAGATTATTATGCTTCTTTTATCCAACCATTGATTATTTGATTGATTGGGAATTAGCCAAAATTTAAACAAATGTACATTGGAGATTCATTGGAATGACGCAGACAAAAGATTTAATGGAAACTAAAGTCTATCATTAAAGGAGTATAGGCTAGTTCACCCAAAAATGAAAATTTGCTCAAAAAAATTTAAGCTTGCTGTTAAAAACATCACAAAAATCCACATGACTCCAGTCCATCAATTAATGTTGTGTAATAAACATATTTGTAATAAACAAATCCATAAAGACATTTTTTAAAACAGTTCTAAACAAATATGTTTATGGATTTAGATGTGAGAAGACAAAGGGAAATGGACATTTTCACTGGAGGAAGTTTTATTATGGATTATGAATTGGTAGTTTAAAAGTCTTAATGATGGATTTGTTTATTACAAATGCGCAGGTTTTCACTTCACAATACTTTAATTGATAGACTGGAGGGGTGTGGATTTCTTGTGGATTATTATGATGTTTTTTTCAGCTGTTTGGACTCTCATTCTGACGGCACCCATTCACTGCTGAGGATCCATTGGTAAGCAAGTGACGTAAAATGCTAAATTTCTCCAAATCTGTTCAGATGAAGAAACAGAAAGTAAATTAACAGATAGATTACAACTACGCTATGTGGATATCCAAATTATATTGAAGCCGTATCCAACTTTTTTTGTTTGGATTTTAAGTTTGCATTTTAATCTTTGATAAAATATTCATGCAGTTGTTATGTCGGAGCATTGAAAGTGAGTTCGTCTCTTATCACCACGCAAATAGAAACAGTTCAGTAGTTCAAAATTTTCAATTATATATAAACCATTAAGTAACAATCAGACTGTCAGATGTGATGGGCTGGCTGCAGTTCCCGTAGGAGCTCTGCTATCTGAGACTAAACAGTGTTAACTACCACATGAAGCTATCCATGTTGCCTGAGGGCCTTTTTACATCTGACACCCATTCAGTGAACTGGTGTAAAGAAAGAAAGAAATCTAAAAAGTTTCATTTACGCATCTGCAACTAGAGCTAGTGTGAGCCAGATAGAATACAGCCACAGCATTTATCTGTTTACCTTTTTTACTTTTTGCTCATGTCAACCTTCCTGTAGACTTGAATGAGTGGTGTCTCCTCCACCACCATCAGGCTCTGAAATCGGTTTCTTTATACAGAGTATTTTGCAATATATGTGCAGACTATGTATGTAATATCTCGACAGTGCTATGTCTCTTCATTGGGGTGTTTTTGTGCACATTGCATTGCATCTTGCAGCAATCCTGCACCTGTATTTTCTTGTGGGGATCAATAAAGTATTCCTTTATTTTTATCTATGCTATTTATCTACTTCTTTTTATCCTGTCTTCTATATATTCAGTTACAAGAAATATCTTCAAATGAATAGATATGACTTTTGAATTCAAAAGGTCATATTGCAGTTTAGTTGAACTGAGACCTTACAAAAATCGATTACGTTTAAAGGACCAAGAACCACGTGTGCTGGAGGAAGATCATCTAGACCTTATTTCATAGGATGCAAGTGTCTCACATGCAGGCAAGAAAACATCCCATATGTGGAACAGTTTCACAACGAGCCAATCAGACTGGAACAAATCAACATTTCTGGCCACTAAGAGATCGCCTCCTTGCGTTTGAAGTCCGCGTGAAACGACATTCGCAATGCATTTTATTTCAGAAATATGATATGTTTGAGTATTCAAATAGAAAAATGTAGGGCGGGACTTGATTGGATCATAAAAAGTGCCAGAATGGAACCAGTTGGTTCAGATGTGGAGTTGAAGAAAAATCTTTTCCATGTTCATTTAAGAAACATGTATTAAGAAAGGCCAGTGTTGACTTTTAAGCAGGTTAAACAGTGTAAAAGTGGGGTTTGTATCATTGTGGACTGTTTAAAAGTTTGGGGTCTGTTGTTGTTGTTAATTTTTATTTTTTTCTGTGAATGTGAGTCTCTTGTTGTAGATATATGTTATTCTCTCTGTTTGATGTGTACTAAAACAGAAAATCTGTCAGAAAAAGCTTACATTTTTAAATGTTTTTGAAAGAAGTATGTCATTAGCACCAAGGTTGCATTTATTCGATAAAAAATACAGACATAAAAACTTTAATATTATGAAATAGTATTACTGTTTTACATACATTTTAAAACATAGTTTATTCCTATAATAGCAAAGGTATATTTTCAGCAGTCATTACTACAGTATTATAAATGTCTTTACTGTCACTTTTAATTAATTGCTGAATAAAAGTATTAATTTCTTTAAATTATCTTTCTGATCCCAAACTTCTGAATGGTTTTGTATGGTAATAAATGGTTCTTTGCTTCCTCTTCTTTGTGTGTGTGTGTATATATATATACAGTATATATATATATATATATATATATATATATATATATTATTCTGAACTCCTTATGTTTTTGTGTTCAGATAAAGCCCCTCATTTTTCCCGTTTGGGGGATGTGGAGGTCAACGCTGGACAAAACGCCACTTTCCAGTGTGTGGCAGCTGGACGTCCCAATGAAGCAGAGAAGTTTCTGTTGGAGGTGAGTATACGGTAGATTTTTAGTGAGAATAATGAGGTTTTGTCAAATTCAGTAATAATCAGCCAAAGGCTAAAGTTGTGACTTGCTGCTAGTCAAACAAAATTATAGCACCAAAATGGCTCAAAGCACCTCAATGTTAATGTGTAAAAAGTACATTTTAGGAACACTTTTTTTCCAGATTGATTTGGTCTTAAAACTACTTTTGTCCCTCAGATGAGATCAGAAAGGCCATGTTTATAAAATCAGAATTCCTTCTCCTTGTCATTTAGTTTTTGTCCAAAGTTTCACCAAAAACTTTTCGGAAAATTAGTTAACTGTCAATCTTCAAAACAAAGCCATATAGAGCTAAACCGCTTCACCGTTCGTTATATAATAGTATTGTTCTGGGAGCATTTTTAGGCTGAAACATTGTGTTTGCAAGGAACATTTCCCACTGTCTTCGGAGAGCTGAAGGTTCTGGCATCAAAGGTGGAATTAAATCAAATGAGTGATTATGTCACATCAAGGTCAAGGACAGATGCCTGTGGTTGCAAGCTGTCACAGCAACACAAGATTCTGCAATAATCAATGTCCTCAAACCCTCTGAAGTGCTCATTCCTCCACTAAACACAGCAGGAGATATATGACTCTACAGCTTCACTTCCGATTTATATAGACGTTTTCTTACTTCTTCTGTCTTTAATCATGGATATTGTGCTCTGTAAATATTTATTTATTTTTATATATGGCATCCGTGGTCCATTACATGATGACATTTGGTGACCTGAATATTTTACAGTGTTTTAATTTCATTTAAATAATTGTTTGCATTTATTATGTTATTTTACTGTTTTCAACATTTATAAGAAATATATCTTAAACACAAAATCAGCATAATTATATTTGAAAATATATTTAAAATGAATAGTTAAATTGTAGTAATGTAGTTTTGTATTTTTAAATGTATTTTTGATTTAATAAATGCAGTCTTGGTGAGCATTAGAGACGTTTTTCAAAAACATTCAAACTTATAAATCTTACCAACCCCAAACTTTTGAATGGTAGTGCATAAATAGTAAAATCGTGTGTATTATATATATATATATATATATATATAAATATATAAAAAAAAAACAATATTACAGTAACTTGATTAAATACATTTTAGTGTATTTTACTTTTTTCCTAATTACATTATTGTCATTTTTTTTTAATCAAGTGTGTCAGCTAATACCAGACAAACGCATGGGTCAAATGCATCAGTAATGCATGGCACGCTTAGTCCAAAACAGATTGTCCACAGCTCTCCTGTTTATCCTACATGTTTGCCTGTCTGGCAGTTCACTGAATGTGATTGCTAGGTTGAACAAAGACCGAGTGGCTCTCAAAGCCAGATGATTGTACGTTTGGCTTTGTTTTATGCGAACCTCAAATTTGCAACCATTGCCCACACATTTACCCCTGCATTCAGGTCTGGTTTGTGTGGTCTTGAACCACATTGGAAGCCTAAACACTTAAGCAGCCCCATAATAAACGAACACACATAGTTGTTTAGCAGCCGCAGACCTCCTTCTCGAAGTGCTTTCCGTTAGTATGAGTGCACTCTCGGTGCTCATTTTGTGTCCTTGGTATTCAGAGAGGGGAAAGAGGGGAATGCGTTGACATCTTGGATGGGTGCTATTCACACCACTGTCTCGCTTAATTACCCGAGCCGCAGTGAAAGCTTGCTGTTATCAAGTGTGGTTTTGTGTGAGAGACGTGTCTGGTACCTCACAAAGCTCCACGTAGCAATTCCTGATGTGACGAGCGAGACTTTCAAGACTTATTCATTTTTGGCCCTTATTCAGATGAATCATACTTTGGTGTCCAACATATATGGCTCATCTTTCAAAATAAACTGAAGCTATTCACTGTCATTTATGTGAATGAAATTGCGTCATTGCACTTACTGTAGTAAATTAAATGTTTATTTAGTCAGATTTTAAATGCAAATATTGCGATCATTTATAGCAAACCCATGAGATGTTTGTGCTGCTCTTTTCCATACAATGAAAGTGAATAGTGAACAGTTATTTTAGTGTTATTTATATACAATTATAGTATTTATTCAAATTTTAAATTATTTTAAATTACATTTTATTTTTATTATTTATTCAGTTTTTGTTTCTGCTTTAACTTATTTGTATTTCAGTTTTAGTAATTCTGGTATTCAACCTTATTTTATTTTTATTTTAGTTTAGTTTAGTTTAGTAAACAAACATTTTTTTTTAAATATAATTTAATAACAACACTGCTGTCAAGCTCCAAAAATTATTATAAAAAAAAGATGTTCCCTGAAAATGTTCTGTGCCATCATGTATCTTCTTTGCTGCTTCTCATATCTCATTCATGCAATTTTAAATATATGCTTATTTATATTTTGCGTATTGTTATCAGTTATGGGGCATACACAAACTTTTGACGTTTTCTCTATTGATTGTCAGAGAACAACTACTTAAATATAGGTCTGTTTCTCACACGCGCCTATAAGTTACTTGCGTAACTTAATATTATTATAATAACCAGTCATATGAACTACTTTTATGTTGGTTTTATATCTTTTTTTTGTGCTTTTTGCAGTTTGACAGCCTGTCACTTATGATATATATGTGTACATAAATCACATAATTGATAACTTCATCATCAAGAAGTAATATAATTGGGCAAATGCAATTTAGTGTTGTTTTGGCTGAGCATTTGTGTCCTGAGCTTAATGATAAATGGCTCTATCCCTCCAGAAGTTCTGTTGTCGCTACGACTAGCATCCAGAAAAGTGCATTGCTCATTCAGTCTTTATATAAGTACTTGGCAGCATGTGCTTGGTGACTAGGCTGTAGCATTTTCTTGTTTTTCTTCTTTTCTAGCGGCACAATGGTGAAGTGTCTTCAGGTGGTTCTGTCAAGTACTTGGGCCGCAACCGCTTCTCAGTGTCCTTTCAACTGGAGGACGTCCAGAAGCCAGAGCAGGACCTCTACCGCTGCGTCACGCAGTCCTCCAGAGGCTCCGGCGTCTCCAACTTTGCGGAACTCATTGTCAAAGGTGAAGAGCTTGTTTTCTTTCCTTCTTTTGTCCTTTCAGTCTTCGTTTTACTGCCCATAATGTGCACATCAGAAGATAATGGGATTCTGGCTAAATCCATGTCATTGTATCCTTTTTTCATTAAAGCCTTGCATTCTCACATCTTATGCTCTTTTGTCCTGAAATGCCAGTTTAGTAAGAAGGATGTAAAGTATGTGTGGACTGTTGTAGTAGCAGACTTTTTTTGGGCAGTTTAAAGGGGTAGTACACCCAAAAATGATAATTCTGACTTTATTCACTTCCCCCTAATTAAGTTGTTCAGTACAAAAAATATGATTTTTTTTGTCCTTTTTTTGAGCTTGACAGTCTGTCTAAAAAAGTCCAGTATAAAGATTCTTTAAAAATGTATTGTTTTGTGTTTCATGAAATAAAAAACAAAACAAAACAGCATACAGGGTTGGAACAACATAATGATTAAATAATGACAAAATTTTCATTTAAGCTTTCCCTTTAAATTCTGAATCAACCATAAAACTTGACACCTGCCCATCAGCCTGGAGTGGCAGCTTTCTGTGTCCACCTGTGAACCCGGGTCAGATTGATATCCCCTAAGCAAAAGGAGAAGTCAGGGGTGGAATAAGGATAGGGATGGATGGAGCCACGTGGGTTATTCAACATCCGTTCTCAAGGCATACTGAGAGAGGTTATGAGACAGCATCATTCTAATCCTATTGATAGATATAGAGCAGCACGGATTACGGAGAGTTTAGAATACGGCTTTACTGTATTCCACAATGTGACCCAGAAGCACAGCATTATAAACCTTCAGGCTGTTTTCTTTAAATGCAGTCATAACAAACCAGAAATGAAAAATCACAGGTAATACCCTCAGAGAACCTAAAAGAGAAACTTCTAGCTATTCAATTATTTGTACTCCCTCACACTGTTTATTATTTAACCCTAAAGCCCCTACAGCAAGGCTAAGCACTTTGCTTTCTTCACACCTAAATCACAGAATAAAATAGTAGTTTTTTGAACCAGCTGCGAACATGGAAGATGGGCGTTATCCCTTTTGAATTGTTTTCTTTAAATTGTTTAGTTTCATTTGTTTGTTTGTTGTTTTAAATTTTATTCTATTCGTTTTCTTTAAATTGTTTTTTTTGTTCTGTTTTTTTGTTTTTTCATGTTTTGTGTTTTTTGTTTGATTTTAGTTTAGTTTTTCATTTAGTTTCGTTTAGTTTAGTTTAGTTTAGTTTAGTTTAGTTTAGTTTAGTTTCGTTTAGTTTAGTTCAGTTCAGTTCAGTTTAGTTTTGTTCTGTTTTTTCATGTTTTGTGTTTTTTGTTTTGTTTTGATTTTAGTTTAGTTTTTAGTTTTTAGTTTTTAGCTTTTAGTTTTTAGTTTAGTTTAGTTTAGTTTTGTTTTGTTTCTCTGCTTAGAGAAAACACCCTTGTTGTATAGGTAGCACTTGTTTTCCCGGCAGATAACCTCCTAATTTGCATGGTTTTCTTGCTGAAGCGATTGGATAAGAGTGCCTGCTAAATGCCTTAAATGTAACTATATTCTGGGGTAAAATTGCTAATGTTCTCTAGATCTTGTCATCAAATTCAAAACTCATTTGACATGCAGTGTTTCTAGGGGACTGATGAATCAAATGTTCAGGAAAGTGCTCGATACAAAGCACTTGCTCTTGTAGCACTTGTCACACTGACTCATTACAACTTCATCATTATATTTTTACCAAAGCCCTAGGCATAATCCACTTGGGAACATTGCAATATGAAGCACAACTTATAATGAGACCCGCTTGCATCTCTGTCTCTATGTTAGAGAGCTTTAAAGCCATTTCAGACTATAGCTGCATTCCCTCTGCAGCATGTTATTGGCATTGCTTCCTGATGGCTTTTACTTCGACAGGAGGTCCTATTTAAAATGCATTACTGCACCTCAGTTAAGCACAGCAGATTGGCCCCACCAGACGAGTCCATAAAGCTATAGGCCCACATGCAAGCACGGCAGCATTGACGCAATCTCATTACGTTCATCTTAGTTTTCCCTTCCCCTCGCTCTGATCTTCTCCTTTTCTTTTCCAAACTGCCCTCCCACGCTTGCCCCCACTAACGAGAGGCTAATCAGTCCTTTAATTAGCTTGATCAACTCATTTCACAACTCACTGTTCCTCAATGGGCCCATAGATTACACAGCAACAGGGCTAATGCAGAGGAGCCAGAGGGCTAATGAGAATTGTTCTGTCAGTCAGTAAGGTTCAGATCTGTTTTTCACAGTAACACTGAACTCTACTCTGGCGAAAGAAGCTTCCTCAGGGTGAAATTAATCATCTGCCCTAACCAACGCTGGATAGAGGGAGAATCGCAGAGACGGCCCGTTTTTATGTCTCTTCGCATATGAAAGCGGAGTCTAAGTTGACTTTATATTATTCTCTGAGCCTTTCTCTGACAGACAAGATGAGCTTTATTATTCCCTGCCATCTCATATCCCTCCCAGGAGAGGCTTTCTCTGTCCCTAGCTGAATATTTGCCATCTGCAGCTGGCCCTGAGAGAGAAAGCTTACAGACACAGCAGACCCGAAGATTAGTCATGGGAAAAGTCAGCGCTGATATCTTTTCATTCGTTGGACCCTCGCTTCCATCCTTCCAAATCGATTTCTTTCACTAATTGTTTGATAACTCAAGACCCTTTGAAGTTGTAGTCATTAGTCAGGGTTTAAATATATATCTAAAAAACTTTATACCTTGCAAATCAAATGTGAGATTGTGGCTACTGTGTAGCTGCCCGCCGAGTTCCTCAGGGGGCCAGATATGAAAAGCTCATGCTAAATAGCATGACCTTGTATCTGAGGTTCTTCCACAGTTTACAGGCTTGCACATCTGTTGGTTTACTTAAAGCTCTCCCTCGAGGACTTGAAAGAACCAGCTATTGGAGATTTAATGTGCATGAACAGATTGGTATTTTAACCCTTGGAACTTGTGTTTTTAAGTTGTACAGTTTGAACTGCAAATGTTCTTTCACCTCGTGTCAGTAGTGTCTGTTCAAGATAAGCTTAAAAAAACTGCGTAAAAGAGATCAGACAGATTCAGGTTAGCGTACATTAAAGGTTTTCATATATTTCTCCTGGGGGCTGCTTGAAAAGGGCTAAAGTATTAACATGTTTTCGAATAGATTTTTACCATCATCTCATTTCTGTCTCCGTCACAGTTCCTCCATCTCCCATTGCTCCACCCCAGCTGTTGAGAGCAGGCTCCACGTATTTGATCATTCAACTAAACACAAACTCCATTCTGGGTGATGGCCCCATCATCCGTCGGGAAATCGAATATCGGGCCAGCCAGGCACCTTGGTCTGAGATCCTTGGAGTTAACATGGTTACCTATAAGCTCTGGCACCTGGATCCAGATACAGAGTACCATATCAGTGTGCTGCTCACCCGGCCAGGCGAGGGTGGGACGGGACCACCAGGACCACCCCTCATCAGCAGAACCAAATGTGCAGGTGAGTGACCAGAGAATGTCACATGCATTACGAAGTTATGAAAATTAAAAATTCCTGTAATATTTTAATGTTGGATGAGAATATTTTGAGTTTCTATTGAAAAGTCTGCAGTTGCTCTCTATTTGATCTTGTTGTAAAGCAAGAAACTATTTTTATAATTTTTTTTTTTTAAGATTATGTAAAATAAGTATTAGCCTAATTTAAGTTCTAAAATTCATTTAAACATTATATATATATATATATATATACACACACACACACACATACTGTATACAGTATATATAAATGGATTTTAGAATGTAAATGAATACATATTTTACACAGTATTTATTCAGAACAACTCTATACATACCCTGTACCATAAACATTAAACAAACCAAGATTGCAAAAAATGTGTGACATCAGCAATTGCTGAACAGCATGTGAATTTGGTCAAGTGTTTAATGCTGGTTCATAAAATATATAAATTTCTGAAAAAAGTGGATGATTAATTGGAACTTCAATTTTCTGAACCGAAACGGCAGGCATCTCTCCTGTGGCGCCTTCTTGTGCCTGTCAAAACAAACAGCGAGGGGTCGGTAATGCATGGTTCTACCTGCAAATGAGAGTCTCCACCACATCCAGCTGTTTCAGTCCTGGAAAGGGTGTGATTAGGAAGATTGATCCTGTTTTTATCTGAGTGAAAACGAGAGTGAAAATGCAGGTTGAGGATTGGACCCAGACCTGGTCAACATAGTAATGGTCACCACATCCGCTTCCAAACACACATGCTATCACACAAATCACTGCCTGCCTTTTTAAATGACACACCACAATCATTCCCAGCTTGTTCCTGAGACCAGACACCTACCATTCATCAGCAAGCAAGACGAAAAGAGGCAGCCAGGTGAAAAAGGGAGTGCGGAAAAGCATGACAACACAGGAGGCTTTAGAATGACATAGCAGGGAGAAAAAGACATCAGCAGATAAGACGAGAGAGTCGGAGCGAGAAATATTCGTCTGTGAGTCACTTCGAGACACGTTTTTGTCTTAAACAGCTTTTGTCTCTAAAAGAAAGGCGGAGAAAATGAGGAGCAGACGTTCACGCTAAATATTTCCTACTGTTTCCATTTCCACTTCCACATTAAGTCTAGATTGAAATTCTTCTTTAAATGGAGTATTTGCATCATATTCCCAGTGGTGCCTCGCTGCACATGAATATTGGGGCCGTTTAAGCTGCTGTCATATTTGCTGAACTGTTGAAGATGTAATTTTGACTCAATAGAAGCACATCAGTGGGATTGGAAGTAAAATGAGGTTTTCCATACTCCGCTCGTGCTCAAATCTCCTGTGTATTCTGCCGTCAACTCAATAGAAGTCGAAGATATAATTGAGTGCTTGGAGAAGTGTGCTAGTGGGAACGCCATGTTGTGTCAGAGGCTATGAAGTTTTGATTTGTTTGACAGCGCTTGCTCACACACACACATACGCTGGTACGTTCGCTGTGATGACTTATTAATCACGGTTGAAAGTGGGTTAGCGTTTACAGTCATGTGACTCGATATTCAGATTAGCCTCCAGAGAGCTCTGTTATAAAAAATATTAGGCTTAGCCACTGCTGCAGGACAAGATGTTTGTTTTGTAACATCGTCTTCAATCGTTTTTATTCTAAATTTAATCTTTTACTGAATTTGATGGATTTATGGTTCTTTACTAAATGCATTAGCTTCAGCTATCAAGGGAGGGATATTTTAGTCTTTAGAGGTCTGGTCATGGAGCTTTCAAGTATGCTTCACTTAAAGGAATAGTTCATCCATAAATGGACATTCTGTCATCATTTACTCACCCTGATGTCGTTCCATACCTGAATTACTTGTTTTTCTTCTGTGGAACAGAAAAGAAGATAATTATTTTATTACATTTTCTCCCTGATTCTTTTGTTCACTTTTTGGATAGAGAGAAGTGTCAGCTCATCTGTCTTCATCCAGCAGGTGAATCCACCTCCTCCATTACAAAGGTGACTGTAATCATCTTCTCTGGCTCCATATGAGCCACACAAAATGGCCTCCATCCGGGGATGCCATTACCTCCTGTACACAGACCTGATGCTGAAAATCTTTCCTTTTGATATATCCCTTTCTGGCATCCAGCAAGATCTTGTTAGTTTATTTGTTTGTGTAGTTAGGCTCACCTTATATGGTTTCTCTCTCCTAGCAGCTTATTTTTATTTTGGGTTTCACTGCAAGAACGTTAGATACTTCCAGGACCTTGGGTGACTTCTCCGCCAAAAAAACTGGAAGAAAGTGAAATGAATGATGAGATGACTAGGTTGTTTCTGGCTGCAGCTGAAGATTGCATCCTGGTGCGCGGCTCTAGGTAGTGACCTACATAAAAAATGATGAAAGCAGGCACAGTCCTGTGGGCACAGGCAGGGAACCGGTGGACATTTCGCCAGGTGTGCTTGATGAGGCGTTGTTGTGATTAGGAGCAGGATGTGATGTGAAGGAATATTCCTCAGAGGAGAGGGAGATTAGAAAGGGGAAAAAGATGGAAGAATGGGACAAACATTGTACTTCTGCCGCAGACTGGTTCACAGATGGACCTCCACCTGCTGCTAGGTCTCTTTAGGTGTTCATTGGAGTGAGTTACACTCTGGAATGTAATCACTTAAAGGTACAGTGCACCCAAAAAAATGCAAAAAATATTTTACTCACCCTTGTGACATTCCAAACTTTTATGACTTTTTCTTCTGCCAAACACAAAAGACAATTTTATTTGATTGATTGATTGATTGAAAGTCAATGAGTCTTTTATTGTATGGCCAAAACGAGTTAATACATTTTTCAAAACATCATCTTTTGTGTTCTGCAGAAGAAAGCCAAAAATGCATATTTTCTCATCATGTACTCGTCCTTGTGAGATTCCAAACATGTTTGACTTTCTTTCTTGCATGAAATAAGGTGATGTTTTCAACAGCGTACTGCTGTTTTCCCCATGCAATGAAAGTTGATAGTGATGAGTGCTGCAAAATCTCCAAAAGGGACAAAAGCACAATAAAAGAATTTTATGCTGTATACTTTTCTGAATGGAGCTTTGTGTGAGGAATAGGCCAAAAGACAGAGCACCAAGTTTGAAATATGTGATGATTGAGTAGGGTAGTAAAGTTTACTATTGAGTAGTAAACATTTCAGTAAATAATGATTTAAATTTCAGTCTGTTCCTCACACAAAACTATTGTATGACTTCAGAAAACCTTGAATATCCTGCACGAGTCACGAGTCAGGAATCCTTTTATGACATTTTTATGGTGCTTTATAGTTCATTCTGGAGCTTGACAACCATTGCTCACTATATACAGTATATTTCAAAAGTTTGGGGAAAATTTTAAATTGATCAAAAAGGACAGTAAAGACATTTATAATGTTACAAATAATTTTTTCAAATAAATGCTGTTTTTTTTTACTTTCTATACATCAGAGAATCCTGAAAAAAAAGTGTCATGTTTTCATCAAAAATGTGTTGCTCAATTATTTTCAACATTGATAGTAATTAGAATTGTTTCTTGAGCACCAAATCAACATATTAAAATGATTTCTGAAGGATCATGTGACCCTGAAGACTGAAAGAATGGTGGCTGTAGCCAGCTTGCCATTACAGGAATAAATTACACTCCAAAACATATTAAAATAGAACAGTTACTTTAAATTATTATAATATTTCACAATGTTGTACGACTGCGCAAGTCATGCAAATCATTTCTGGGTGAACTATCCCTTTAATAAATGTGAATAACATATAGCAGCTTATTCGTTCACGATTTTTATTCCCATAATTTAACATCAAATACGAATGCTCTTATGTACATTTGATTAAACCCACTCCCATCCATCTCCATATAAATAATTTTACCCCAAATATCACAGAATCATGTTTCCCATTCTTTTTCCTTTTACAAGCCAACGACCAGAACTTCACGCCCATTAGTTCACTGTATAACCTTACTTCTCTCAGGACTATCTCATGTATCAACATTATCTAGAGTAATGGGACAGAAACTGGTCTTGTTTGGACTTCCAGCTGCCCGTGAGGAATTGACATGCTGCCCCAGGCCCCTGGCTGCTCTCTCTGGGTTCGGTCCCATCTCAGACGGGAGCCAAGGAGTGGGCGCTCGGAGCGCTGCTCTTGGCATCCAGACAAAGCCTTCGAACTAGGTTAAGGGAAGTAGGGTGACACAAAAGGCCCTTTGAGCTCCTCAAAGAGCACAGTGTAGACACTTGGATTGTTTTAAAGACGACACAAGCCAACAGCATCCCATTAGTTTGCTTTTAACTAACAATCAATAGTTCCATTAAGACGATCATCACTCTATTTTGGTCACATTTCCTGTGGAGGCAAATGGGACCTTTTGACATTCAATGTGTATTTTAGGAAACGAACATCGCTCATTCGTGTCATTTTCAGGTCCACTAAGTGCTTCTGCTGATAAGAAATCCAATCGCGCTGGAAGTTAATCTAAATGTAAATCTACAAATGAAACGAAATGTAAATCTAAATATAAACCTTAAGGAAATGTGTAGAGAGATGTGGCGAAAGCTCTCTGATGTGTGAGATATTTCAGGATTAACGGAGCTTAATGTTACGAGTGCGTTTCTGCAGGAGAAGTGCTGAATTAGTATTCTGCGATCCATACATGTTCTCCTCTGAGGACTTCAAGACGAAATGCTTTTCCTCTAATTCACTGTCCTTACGGTCTTGGTGCATTAGCTACCTCACCTTACCTTAAGTAGTAATCCTAATTCTTAAGAGCATGTCTTCTGAGAATCGGTTCGAGAGGAACAATAAAGACCTTGAGCCGTGACCTCATACTTTTCACAGGAAGTGCGCACTTCACATCCCCTTTGTTGTACCTTCCCACTTGGGTCCATTAGTCATCAGGTCCCATTAAAAGAACAAAGAAATACAATACATTATGTGGAGATATATTTGACCAAAATGCATTGATTGTCTTAATAATGGACCGTGACAAATGCTCTCATTGATAGTGAGGCTGGATGTCCTTGGTTCACCCTCCCTCGCTGTGAGAAACACTAAGGTTGCTGTGTGCCCTACAGACAGTAGCTTCCTCTGTCTCTTTATATCACATACGCCAAAGGTGGTCGCTGATCTTTCTGCCCCCGGTAAATAAGAAAATACGAACACAGATGTGAGTTATGCCAAAAATAGTTGGCCTAATGCAACGACCTTGCACTAACGGTAACTGGCAGAGCTGAGTGTCCTTGAACGGGGCTCGTGGCCCCTGGACGAGGTGCAGGCAGATACTCGATTTGCTTAGCGACACAGAGGTGGCAAATGGCGGGAGAGAGAGTACAACCTACAGCCTGTGGAATTAATTAACATAATTTGGCATGAGTTGTGTCCTCATTAGCAGGTGGTCCGTCAACCTTTTTGACCGTGGTGGCGCCTCCTGCCTGTGGTGGGTGGGGTAGGCGAGAAGTCTTGTGACCTGGTGATGTCCCCGTGCAGATTCCCTGCATTTTTGGCTTATGTTAACAAAATGTTTCACCGTTTTCTATTCCAATAGAGCCCATGCGGGCGCTGCGTGGTCTTCGAGCCTCGGAGATCCAGTCCCGGCAGCTGACCTTGCAGTGGGAGACGCCAGCCTTCAACCTGACCCGCTGCCACACGTACTCGGTCTCCTTGTGTTACCGCTACACTACCGCAGGGGGCGGCGGTGGGCACAACACCACGGTGAGAGAATGCCTGGCTGTAGAGCACAACACTTCACGCTTCACCCTCAGAGATCTGCCTCCTTTTCACACCATCCAAATACGCCTGGCACTCGCCAACACCGAGGGCAAGAAGGAAGGGAAGGAGGTCATGTTTCAAACTGAGGAGGACAGTGAGTAGCAGAGCTTTCAATGAATATTAATCTGTATATGTCATTTGTTGTATTTCTATTGCTGTGGTGCCTGGGTTTCAAGAGTGGGGAAGCGCAGATGTCTCATCATGAAGGACAAATTGTGTAACGTGTCACAAAATGTGGGAAGTCGTCATAGTTGGGTTAACTTAGAGAGCAGGGAATGGGAGAGTACCACAAATATATGTTTTTGCATTCCCATTTGCTCAAATAGTAAAAGAAAAACTCCACGATATGTTTTCACGACTTTCAGAAAAAGGAAAAAAATTGAGAGAGACTGACAACGGCAGTCAGAGGTGAACGTGATTTCACCAAGTACAACATGATCCTGGAACAACATTCCAATTAACCAATCAGAATTGAGGGATTAGTTTTCAAGAAATGTCAGTTTTAGGCTTACAGTCAGGGTTAGATGCTTCTACACCCTTCTTATTCACCTATCATTTCCCTCTGATTTTAGGAATAAATTATGGGTAGGGTTAGGTTTAGGGGTAGGGATTGGGTTAAGTCTATATTTTTGGACAGTAATGTTGATCCAGGATCAACAAAAGATGTTGATCCAGGAACATGTCTTACTTGGCAAAATCACGGCGACCAGCAGTCAGAAGAGAGAATGATGTCAAATTTACCGTCCCTCCCATAGACGCTGCATTAGAAACACCCTTGCATTAGCGTTAACTAGTTTTTTTGTAATTTGATGCAAAGGTGATATAATACAAAGTATAGTGTTATAAATGTACATACATTTAAAAAAAAATCTAAATATAAAAAACGTTCAAGGATTTATGATGCTGATGACCGTTGAAACGCGTTATCACAGTCTTGTGAAAAAAGTCCATGATTGACAAGGTTCAAATGGAAATAGGCCAACTTTCCCAAGTCCTGTCCATTTAAGAGCTCACTTATTCATCATTTAGAGAAATGAGGCTTCAAAACGAGTAAGTGATTCAAAAGATAGTGATTGAAAGCCTATTTTTCAGTAAATAATCAAACATTTACCAGAAAGAAAAAATGGATAGATTGGTGGATGGATGATAAAAGACGAATGGATTATTGAATGAAAAAAGAAAGAAAGGGAAAGAGGTATTAACACATAAAGAAAGAGTTGACAAAGTTAAGTTGTTCCTATAGGGTTGAAGTATTTACTTCTGGAGCCTTCTGAATAAAAATGTTTCTCTTAGATCTGTTCAACATCACAATCATAAAGACACAGACGTTCCCAAATGGATTTGAAATACATTTTTAATTATTCTCTCCAGGGAGCTGAGCATGAGGAGGTCAGGGAAGATTGTTATGCCCGTTTCTGTGCTCTGTCCAGCCGGCTTGGGCTGTAAAAATTCTGGCTAAAAGACAAAATAATTTTCTGGGAAAAATTTGAAACACTAGCGTTTCACCCAGACAGGAAGTATGATGAAATAAGAGAGAAAAAGAGAGGGAGGAAAGGGAGTGCTCAATTATCAACACTCCTCTGAAGCTTCAATCAGCAATTCTTTTCTTTCATGGCCTGTCACAAGAAAAAGTGATGGAGTCAGCGATTTGGACTCAATCTGAGTGAGCGTGTTATTTTCGCCACCGGCTATCTCTGCCTCACCAACTATCACCCTGCGCACACACTCTGTGCACATACCCGAGGGCTAACGAGGATGGCTCAGTGACAGAGCACAAATGGCTGTAAAAACATCTGCTGATGCGTTACTGCTGCAGTGTGTGAGAGCTCAGAGCATCATCTGTCTCTCTAGCACCATTTCCACTTCCTCCTCATTCTTTCTGCCAACGTTTATGTCTGTTAATGAACTCGTGTTAATATTAATCAGCCAAAAAAAGCTGCGTCATCAGCTGCAAGTGTTGCCCTTTCTTTCTGCCGCACAGGCTTTGTATTTCCTGCTGAGAAGTTCAGCTTCGACCAGCATGAATTTCCATGCTGCTCCAGGCTGGTTAAGGCTGCTTTCATGCCGGTGTGGTTGATTGATCAGTGTAACTCTGCTGTACATTTGCAAACCTATGAAGCTAATTAAGCAGCATGGCCTTTCTGGTGAATTCGGTTAAGTTAAATAAAAAAGTTTTTAAGAAAACTCATTCTTCTTTCTTCTATGCATTTGAAAGCATGTAGGGCTGTCAAGCTCCAAAAGGACAAAACTCAAAAGTGATTGATATTGACTCGTGTACAATTATCCTTTCAATTATTCTGAAGCCATATGATATTTTTTTGTGACGAAAAGACACAAAATTTATATTTTTATGAGTAGCTCTCAAATTTCATTCAAGTATGCTGTGTGAGGAGGTCAAAAGCCATTGGTTCTCAATAGTTTTGTAAAATGGAACTCGCAATACAGCAAAATTTTAATATGCAGAAGTGCTAATTATATTTCAGAGCTACAGTAGAGGGCTAAGGTTTCTGTAAATAAAGACTGAAATAACACAAATCTAACAGGGAACAAATCATGAGTCATTACCATTTTTATGATATTATTTTGGTGCATTTTGCGTTTTTTCCCCCTTGATTATTTTTGTGTTATTTACATGCATTTATAGTATTAATTAATATTTAAATTTGCTTTTATATTTTCAGTTTCATTTTAATTTTAGTTTAAATTTGAGTAATTTTAGTATTTTCCCCCATGTTTATTAGTTTTTGTTGTTTAATATTTATATTTAACTTTAATTTATTTTTTATTTCACTTTTAGTTTTAGTACCTCAACTTAAACTTATTTTATTTCAGTCAGTTGCTAAAGCAACATTTCTAATTTTAAATAAGTTTATTATTTTAATTTTATTTTAAACACATCATACACTATTGTTTTTAGCGGGATTCCCAGACCGCCACATTCCGTCAAATCTGGAGAGCAGATCTCTTTAGCTCTTTGATTCCATATCACATATTCAAGTGACCTGACAACAGTACTGAATCACTTATATTAGTTATAATGGGATGAGTCTGTGTTCATAACATGAAAGGCCTGCTTAAGACGTTCATAATGACAGCAGCTGTAATGAGGATATTAGAGTTGACCTTTGGGGGAATTTAAGCGATTAACCCTCTCACTTTGAGTAAATGCTAGTGAAATTACTAGTCTGACAGTGTAGGATCTTTCCATTTCTTCATTCATAGCCAGTGGCTTCTCTGGGTTCCCACAGTTCCCGGAGGCATTGCTCCCGAGTCTCTTACCTTCACTCCGCTGGAAGATATGATCTTCCTGAAGTGGGAGGAGCCGGTGGAACCCAACGGTCTCATCACGCAGTATGAGGTATGTGCTTTCCTGCTCTTTACCGCACTCATATCCATTTCTCTCAAGCTGTCTGAATCCGCAGAGATTGGCTCTCTGACGAGTCAGCGTTTTTACCAGGTGAAATATCGATGATCCACAACCCTTGAAAGACAAAACTTCCCACTGTGTGTTAAAATTGGACTGCCAGTTTAAATTATTTATGAAAGTGCCGCTAACATATGATCCCCCGCGTGCGTGTGCACACAGACCTGACTGACAGTGGGCTGTATTAGGAAGACTTTGGAATGCGAGTGTTTACCACCCCTGTATAATTTGGAGTTTCAGTCTAGTGGGCCGGAAGTGCTGAGTTGTTGTTGTTGTTCTTTTTCAACTCAAGTCAGTGACAGGCAGAAAGTATGTATGAAGTCATGATTTGGACCTGGAACTCTGCCTGCTGCCAGAGACACAAAAGCCACCAAGGCCAACCCTCCCTCTAATTGGTCCCTACTGCACCAGCCATCTGTTAGTAAATGACAGAAAGATGTCTCTATCTAAGTTCTATATGCTGTCTCCTACACTTTTTGCCATTTTAGAATCTTGCTTTATTTGAATAGTTGCCACGATGTCATCATAGAACAACCGTCTTCATGAACCGGGACAATTGTCCTAGAGCTACCTGGGATTAATTGCTTTGCTGGAGGACACAATGATAATTGCTCATGGCTCAGTTCTCAAAGGGACTGAATCAGCAACCACCCAGTCCTGAGCCTTAACCAATACACCACGATATTTTATGAATGTGGCTGCTGTAGAAGCTTCTGGAACAGTTTTGAGATGATGTCAAGAAGTCATTACCTAGGTAATGTCACATACAACCCATTAAAGAATAATTTATTTAGATCCAATTGTGTAAATAAAATCTAAATTTATTTAAAATGTAATTAAAAAATGTATTTATTTATTATATAAAAACTTTTTGTCATAGATTTTTAATTGATTTTTAATTATTTGGAAAATAATCATTATGTAATTTCATTATCTATCTATCTATCTATCTATCTATCTATCTATCTATCATTCAATCGTTCTATCGCTCTACTTATCTATCATTCTGTTGTTGTTCTATCTATCTATCATTCTATCATTCTAACTATCTGTCTGTCTGTCTGTCTGTCGTTCTATCGTTCTATCGTTCCATCATTCTACCATTCTATCTGTTGTTTTATTTATCGATTATTCTGTCATTGTCTGTCTGTCTGTCTGTCTGTCTGTCTATCTATCTATCGTTCTATGAACCTATCTATCGTTCTATCTACCTATCTATCGTTCTGTCGATCTGTCTTTCTATTTATCTATCATTCTATAAAATCTAAATTTTATTATATAACACCTTTTTGTCATTGATTTTTAATTATTAGGAAAATAATCATTATGTAATTTCATTATCTATCTATCTATCTATCTGTCTATCTGTCTGTCTGTCTGTCTGTCTGTCTGTCTGTCTGTCTATCTATCTAGTCTGTCTGTCTATCATTCTGTCATTCTATCTATCGTTCTGTCTACTGTTCTATCTGTCGTTCTGTTCATCTATCATTCTGTCAATCTGCCTGTCGGTCTATCTGTTGTTCTGTATAGCTATTGATACAAAATCTTAAAAAATATAAAAGTGCTGCTTTGTCCCACTGTCACGTGCAGGCATGGTAATGGGTCATAGAACTACAACATGAGTTTTAAAGTCATTATTTAATTATAATTTAATGTGTGCATGACTTTGTGTTTTTCTCTGTTTTATTTATTTGTATTTATTTAGTTTACAAATTGCTCTGTTGCACTACTTAATCAAGACAAACCAAAAAAATAGAATATTTTGTTATTTTTGTTATTTACTTCTGGGATCTAAGAATCATTTTTACAGTGTGGTTTTGTGTACCAAAAAAATCTATATCATTGTATAATTGTACTCTTGAGATTAGAACTGCCGCAAATTGAAAGCTTATGACTTTGTCCCAAAAAGAAGGATAGCTAACAGTCTAATAAAAGCCTTTAAACTGTTTCTTCATTCTTCCGTTCAGCGCACACAGATTCGGCCTGCTCAATGGAAAGTTGGTGGGCCTCCCACAGCCAGCATCTGTCTCTCTGTTCCTCTGTTCCAGAACATTCTCACACCCTTTCTCTCTCTGGTCACACTGCCTGCCTCAGTGTCACCTTTCTCCTCGCCCATGATTCAGGCTTAGTCAGTCACTAAAAAGTTGTGAGAACGGTGCTTCTGTCACGCTCCAAAACACTCATCTCACCTCAGGAGGAAAAGTCGCTTTTGTTTGTGGATCCATCATTTGGCTCAGCTATGGCCCGAAACGAGATCGACGCATTTTTTGAATGCCACCTCTGTCCATCAGGCGCCTCCCCCGTTACTATTTGCACTTACTGAGTTATCTCTCCTTGATAACACGCGTTTCTTTTTCTCCCCAGGCCATAGCTACCAAAGTCGCCTCAAGGATGTTTTCTAAAGGGGATTTAAAGGCTTGACCTATAAAGTGGAGGCAAGGACAGATTTTCAGGCTCAAGCAGCCTGATCTTCTCAGACATACAGAGAGATGAAGAGAGAAAGAATAAGAGAGAGGCAGAGCCTGGAGAATTCGCTCTCGTTTCTCTGTCTGTCTGTCTGTCTGTCTATCTATCTAGTCTGTCTGTCTATCATTCTGTCATTCTATCTATCGTTCTGTCTACTGTTCTATCTGTCGTTCTGTTCATCTATCATTCTGTCAATCTGCCTGTCGGTCTATCTGTTGTTCTGTATAGCTATTGATACAAAATCTTAAAAAATATAAAAGTGCTGCTTTGTCCCACTGTCACGTGCAGGCATGGTAATGGGTCATAGAACTACAACATGAGTTTTAAAGTCATTATTTAATTATAATTTAATGTGTGCATGACTTTGTGTTTTTCTCTGTTTTATTTATTTGTATTTATTTAGTTTACAAATTGCTCTGTTGCACTACTTAATCAAGACAAACCAAAAAAATAGAATATTTTGTTATTTTTGTTATTTACTTCTGGGATCTAAGAATCATTTTTACAGTGTGGTTTTGTGTACCAAAAAAATCTATATCATTGTATAATTGTACTCTTGAGATTAGAACTGCCGCAAATTGAAAGCTTATGACTTTGTCCCAAAAAGAAGGATAGCTAACAGTCTAATAAAAGCCTTTAAACTGTTTCTTCATTCTTCCGTTCAGCGCACACAGATTCGGCCTGCTCAATGGAAAGTTGGTGGGCCTCCCACAGCCAGCATCTGTCTCTCTGTTCCTCTGTTCCAGAACATTCTCACACCCTTTCTCTCTCTGGTCACACTGCCTGCCTCAGTGTCACCTTTCTCCTCGCCCATGATTCAGGCTTAGTCAGTCACTAAAAAGTTGTGAGAACGGTGCTTCTGTCACGCTCCAAAACACTCATCTCACCTCAGGAGGAAAAGTCGCTTTTGTTTGTGGATCCATCATTTGGCTCAGCTATGGCCCGAAACGAGATCGACGCATTTTTTGAATGCCACCTCTGTCCATCAGGCGCCTCCCCCGTTACTATTTGCACTTACTGAGTTATCTCTCCTTGATAACACGCGTTTCTTTTTCTCCCCAGGCCATAGCTACCAAAGTCGCCTCAAGGATGTTTTCTAAAGGGGATTTAAAGGCTTGACCTATAAAGTGGAGGCAAGGACAGATTTTCAGGCTCAAGCAGCCTGATCTTCTCAGACATACAGAGAGATGAAGAGAGAAAGAATAAGAGAGAGGCAGAGCCTGGAGAATTCGCTCTCGTTTCTCTCAGATTAGCACATTGTCCACTTTCCTCTGAGCACCGCCGACAAAAGACTCACAGGGTACTGCGTTCCCCCTCAATCCTTCCCCCATCACTATCCTCCATGCCTCATATCTTAAAAGAGGCTGGGTACAGGTGCAGCAACTGTCTCCTAAGTCCCAGAAGCACACTGCAGTCAACACTCTAATGCTAGGCCACTAATGTTCTAATGCTCTGCACGTTTGTGATCCGAAAGTTTGTCAGGCTCATCTATCTATCTATCTATCTATCTATCTATCTATCTATCTATCTTATCTGTCTATCTATCTGTCTATCTATCTATCTATCTATCTATCTATCTGTCTGTCTGTCTGTTTGTTAAAATAAACCTACCATAAAAATTGCAGACCCTTCATTTCTTTGTAAGTAAGTAAACTTACAAAATCAGCAGGGGATCAAATAAATATTTTCCCCACTGTGTCGTTCTATCGTTCTATCGCTCAACTTATCTATCGTTCTGTTGTTGTATCGTTCTATCTATCGCTCTATCTATTGTTCTGTTGTTCTATATTGTTCAATCCTTCTATTTATCTATCTACCAAACATTCAAACCTAAAGGCTTTTTCAACTTTAAAAGTATTTTTTATGCAAAAATTCATTTGTTTGAGTTACAATTCCTTAAATTCAAATTGTAACCATGCACCTAGTTTGAATTCAATTCAAACAAATATTTGCAAATATTTTAAATTATATTTTGTTAACAATTATTGGGTTGATATTGATTCAAAACTAAAGCAAATCAGATCATATGTTGCTTAATGTTACATGAGGCCAGAAGTCTAAGAAAAGTTCCCAGAATCGTTTTACTGAAGAAATGAATCAAGACTACATGGTGACCCAGAATCTTCAGTGCACATGAAACACTGAAACATTTCTCCTTTTTTGTGGACATTTAAGAATTTTTTGTTGTTGTTGTGCACCTTTTAGACTTCCTTATGTCATAATATAATTCAGGAAAACCTTTCTGGTAATGGATCTTAGATCTTTGTTTCACTGACTTTTCACTTAAAGTGACTTGGTGTGTGGATTTTACATTACTCTTAAAACTGCTTTATACAGCATACAAATATTCTGTAAACAAGATGATGTTGAGTAGCTTAGGTTTCCAATGAAAATCGTTTCAAAAGAAGCCAAAGCTTCAAGGTTTGTGTGATGACAGGAAACACGGACAGGAGCAGAGATTGTGAGTGCTGTCATATGATACCTTCACGGTATTCTTTGCTGTAAAAATGATAGTCTAACATGCCCTCTAGCTTCCCGCTGGTATTAATGAGTAGGTTACCACGTATTGTTTATACAATAAATGTTTAATTTCATATATGAATCATTTTCAACCCACTCTGAATAGGGAGGTCAGGGTTAGTAAACTTTTGTAAAGCATTGTTTGATCTGAGCTACCACACACTGAGTCATTGCATGTTTGCTTCCAAAACAGCAGTGATTTAATGAAAATATGATTCATTTAAATGGTTTTAATACGTGCAATTACAGATCAGCTACCAGAGCATTGAATCATCAGACCCCGGGATCAACGTTCCAGGCCCGAGGCGCACCGTATCCAAACTGAGGAACGAGACTTACCATATGTTCTCCAACCTGCATCCTGGCACCACCTACCTGATCTCTGTGCGGGCGCGCACCGCCAAAGGCTTCGGCCAAACAGCACTCACTGAGATCACCACCAACATCTCTGGTAAGGAGTTGGTCAGGTTGTTTTAGGGGGCTTTTAGGTGTGAGTGTGTGTTAAACAGAGCACTTCCAATACAAATCTGTCCCGTCCGAATGGAGTGAGTGTGTTTAAATGTTTACTTATTTGATTGACTCTTATCCAACTAAATGTACTGTAATTATGCAAATGATGAATATCTCTATTTTTATCTAAAAAACAAACAAACTAAAGACTGCAGTGAAATATTAGCTATCGAAAGGCGTTGGCGCAGTTATTTCTGCATCTGACCTAATTGTATATGCATATTGTAGGAGTTTCCTTTTCAGACACAAAATTTACAGCTGTAGAGCAGGGCCTAAAGTTAACACTCGCCAAGTGCCAAATGCAAGTAAAAATCAGCATTAGGGAGCAGTGTTGGGAAGGTTACTTTGTAAATGTAATAGGTTACAGATTACAAGTTACTTTATTTACCATGGTGGTAGCTCTTAGACAGTTTGTAGTCTAAAGCTTTCAGTGGCAATGTGGATTGATGTAATTGGCAGACATGGTGCGCTGCAAATTCAAACGAGAACCAATCAAAAGCATCAGAATAGCATCACTTTACTAAATGGCCTTTAAATGGCAGGAGGCATCATGCACATCAAAAACAGGCAAAGCAACAAATGAATATTATTATGCATATCCTAGCTTTTTACAGAAAATATTCAGATGTAATCCCCTTTGTAATCATTAACATTTTAAAAGTAACTGTAATTTAATTAATTACACATTTTTCTCAGAAACTGTAATAGATTAGTTACATTTATTTTGTAATTAAATTACGTAATCCCGTTACATGTACACTACCAGTCAAAAGTGTTTGAACAGTAAGATTTTTAAGTCCCTTCTGCTCACCAAGCCTGCATTTATTTGATCCAAAGTACAGCAAAAACAATACCATTTTTAAATATTTTTAACTATTTAAAATAACTGTTTTCTATTTGAATATATTTTAAAATGTAATTTATTCTTGTGATTTCAAAGCTGAATGTTTCATGAATAAAGGGTCATGAATAATAATGTTGAGCTCTGCTCTGATTGGCTGTTTCACAGTGCGGCTCATTTCAGTAGCTTACACAGCAAGAAGGAAACACAGGGAAAATATATATTTCAATACTTTCTCTCGCAGTTATATCGTAGGGTAATTATACTGTATATAAAATGCAGACATCAGGGAGCCGCTATTAATATGCAGGGCATTGAAACTGCTTTCGAATGCACGATCGTGTTTTACTTTCACTTTCGAGATTTGCGATCGCACGTGCTGTGTAAACTACAGCGGCAGTACTTACCACACATTTTACAAGATCAGATGCTTGTCAGTGGTGCTCAGGATCTGTAAATTATTCGCCATCGTCCTCAGTCATCTCTCTTTACTCTGTTTATGTGGTAAGTGAAATCTTATGTAGCCTACTGCAATGTAACCTGCTAGCAAGCAGCTAACCATGTCTCTTTAGTGGCTCGCGTTATTTTATTAGAGCGCGTTATTTGCTTTCCGTGCCTTTCTGAATACAGACACCAACCCATCCCTGCACTTCACATCCCCTGCACAGCCTGGAACATAACATTTATTTCCACGATCTGCCATTTTCGCTGTTGTCCTCGCTTGTTTCTTCACAATACCTGCAGAACTTCTGATGATTTAGCTGTGCAGGTCCGGCTGGCCTAGAACATGGGCGGGTATATGCGCTAAATAAAAAGTATTAATTTCTATAATTTCACCCCCCACCACTTTGTGAAGTGATTTTACTCGCCTAGGCTATGGTTAAAAAAACAACAACTTTAAATGTGCTTACTGTATATGCATCACAGGTATGCACATTAGTACGAACTGAATAAAAACTAGTTAATTTGATCACTTATGTTCTCCTCTCCTTGTCTGATGGGTCGACACTGACCTTTACATCTGTTCATCTGCTGTAAACGAGCAATAAATAACTTCAGACTCAGAACAGGTGCTATAATTTCATGGAAGGAGTGTTTATAAGAAAAACTGTGAAAACGCAGAAGTTGCTTTTGTTTTGCATTAAATGACTAGAACTCGTACTTCTGCAGTGATGCGAAATGTACGTGCATGTGTGTTTCCGTGCACCTTCAGATGTACCAGGTGATAACTGTTGATTGAAATGCCTCAGATCATTCGGGAGATGTCTGAGGTACAGAAATGCACGTTGGCAGTTCAATAGTCAGGAACAAAGTGAAACAAAAACTGATTTCACAGAAAAGGAAAAATGCGAAACTCCAGAGTTTCCGGTTCATCATCCTGTGCTTCAGGTGCGCTATTGATCTCTGAAGCATGTGTGTGTGAGTAAGCCCATATCGCTGCTTAAGAGCCATTATGTATTCCCGAGTGGATCTGAGGAAGTGATCACAGCAGATGCTCAGAACCCAACAGGCCCTTCAAGAACATTACACGTTTCCCCTCGCCTCAAAGAGAACTGACATCACTGTCATCCTCACCATTCGAAAATCAGCCCGCCTTACAAAACAGCACCATATGCTGCTGTCAGCCAGATGCAGCTGATGCTAAATCAGGATTCCTCAACACTGGACTGATGCGAAGCAATGTGCGTTAAAGCCAGCCTTTTCTCCGATGGCAACGATGGATAACTTCTGTTTTTTGACGGCAGTGATGTGACGGAAACACAAAATCCAATAAGAGGATTTAGTGTAGTGGTAGGCAAGGTCCATTAATCTGCAAATATGTGGTTGTTTTGAGAATATTGGCTTTGGCCTGATAACCCTGTCTACTTGGCCGATTAACAGTCGGGGACGTTTCACCTTGTATCAGCTCAAAATCTACCAAAAGCACTGTTAATGGATAAAAAAAGTTGATACATTTTCTGTTTTGTTTTAGTGAAATTTTAAAGGTTTTATTTTTTTCCTAATTTATTTCAGCATCTTTTGCTTGCATTTTTTAAAATTGCATTCATTTTAATAATGAAATATATTTATTTAGGTAATAATAATTAAAAACATTTTTTATTAATGTTTATGGTAATGTCCACATTTCAGACACCAAATTTGGGATTCCAATTCAAATTTAATATGCATATTTAGCTGCATAATATGATCATCAGGCTTTACACACATTGTGGTGTTCATGCAGTTTGAGGAACTACTTTCAGTATTTCAATTTATTTATTTTTTTTCACTCAAATTGTTAAAATATTATTTGTAATGGAAATATGCGTCACTGTATATTATCTGCATTATTAGTATATTTCTGGTTGAAGGATTTTTAATTAGAAATAGTACAGAAGTCAAACAGGAACTGAGCACAGAGACACAGAGAGATGCATTACACCCTTATATCTGTGCATTTCACTATGTACACCAAACCTCAGAGAAAGTTGTTGCAGCATAGACGCTTTGGAGTTGTTACAGTATATTGATTGAGGCTGTTAGAATAGATGTACATATATGACCTGTTGTATACTTGCATTTCTGTGCATACTGTAAAGAAATAAGCCCTCAGGCCCTCCTATATCTCTCAGTTGCATCATATGTATGTAGACCAGCATTCTATTTTTTAATGTGTTTTTAGTTTCTCTGCAAGCACTCAAAGCCATCCAAGGCCTCACTTTTACTGAAGTCCACTCAAGTAGCTGTAGTTTTGCCAAAACCCGCTTTTAATACCATAATCATTGATTTCTGGCAGATTGTTTGCCTTTGCTCGTCAGCTCTAATTGACTGCTGATATTAAGGAAAGCGTTATTGCTCAACACGAGCATCTCAGGGGAAGGATGCAGTCCAGACTCAGATCCTTCTAAATGAGTTTCCCCTCTGTTTGTCCCACATGCACAGCTTTTAATTACACCCTGAGTTCAAGACACACAGAGGGACAAGTTTGGAGAAGAAAGCAGAGTTCATATGAAGTGTTGGTTGTTGTCATGAATTAAGGCGGTCTTATTTCAGACAACAATGTAGGCGTTGTTCGTGAGGTTCGTCTAATTAAAATGTTTAGCTGGTTATATTGGCTTTTAATAATTAGCGTAAACTTCACTTTGCCTTACTTTGAAATGACAAAGTTAATGTACACAGTGGATTTGGATCCCAAATGGTTTCTTTTTAATTGCTGAGCTCTCGTTTATTTTTTTTTCTGCCCATCACTGGGGATGTTTTAGAGAAGTTTACTTTTGATAGTGAGTGGGTTTAAAAAGTTTTTTTTCTTTCTCTCATTTTCTCTCTTTTTGAAGCACCTACATTCGATTATGGAGACATACCGTCCCCTCTGAGTGAGACAGAAAGCACCATCACAGTCCTGCTGCGTCCAGCACAAGGCCGAGGAGCTCCGGTCAGGTGAGAGTGCCAGTATTTTCTTTAAAGGAATATTCCAGATTGAATACAAGTTACCACTAAAAATTTAGTGGTTACTTGTATTAAGTTTCTAATAAAGTCTGTTTTTTTCTCATGCTTAAAACATCTTAACACACATATTAGTTAGGCTATACTATTGTGTATTCACCAGGGTTATTAAAAACTTTTGTTACTTGAAATAAAATAAAATATAAAAAAAACGGCCAGATTTACTAACAACTTGCACCAGCACAAACCGTCTTTTGGCACTAAAATAGTACTGTCAGGATTTACTAAAGACACGTAATGAAGAATTAACGCTGAAAAGGCGTGGACACAGTTAATTTTCCACCTGACCTTATTGAATATGCATTTGTAGGAGTTTCCCATTCAGACGCAAAATTTATGGGAGGGGAGTATTAAAATTAATCACACAACACGATTTACTAAGGTTTGCTCTTGTCAAATTGCTGGTATTTGCGCCATTATTTAACGGCCAAAAAATGTCTCAAATCAGGCTGTAATTTGCACTGCTCTTGGTAGATTTGCTGGTCATTGTGGAAATGATCTGTGTTCTTTAATGTGTGCATTTTCAGTAAATCACACGCATAATTTTCCACTCCCATCAGTGCTTTTATGGAATTGCGCTCTAGCCCTAATTTGCCCTGTTTAGTAATTCTGGACCTTAAACTTCTTTTTAAAAACTAAAAATATAAACTGAAGTTTAAATTAATAAAAGTTATATATAGACATTTAAAAAAAAAACTGATAAAAATGAAAAAATACAGCAAAGCTAATAAAACTTGGAACTAAAATTAAAATGAAAACAGAGATATAAAAATATAATTCAAAATATTAACTAAAACTACAGTAGTATCTCAATGCTGCTAAAATAACGCTCAAATTTATTTAATGTTTTGTATGTTGCACTTTAATATATTTTGAGATATTGTAAACTCCAACCCAGATTTTTTTTTCTTAAAAGAGACAAAAATTATTTTTTTATGATAATCAAGTGCTGTTAACTTGTTTCGAACCTGGAATATTCCTTATACGTTATTACTAATATTACTATTATATTTTTATAAAATACATTACTATGTGTATGTATACACAGCACATATCAAGTGATTGTGGAGGAAGAAGCTGGTAGGAAGGTGAAGAGAGAACTGAGCGTTCAGGACTGCTTCCCCATTCCAACATCTCACGGTGAGGCTCAGGCCCGTGGAGCGCCACACTATTATACAGCCGAACTTCCCCCGAGCAGCCTGCCCGAGGCTACACCCTTTACTGTGGGGGACAACCACACCTACAACGGCTACTGGAACAGCCCTCTGGACCCCAGGAAGAACTACCTCATCTACTTCCAGGCCATGAGCAACTTTAGAGGCGTAAGTGTCAGAAACTAGCACTGTTACTCATTCCGCTCCCAGTATATACTGAAGTATACTTCAATTGTTACATGTACACTAGGGAATGTGTACATTTCGTCATTAGCACAGTACGCACATACCATATGTGTGCAGCCTGTTTTTTCGAACCACACATACTGTACAGTATACAATATTTTTTTCATGGAAATTCAACTGATTTTATACCAGGATCTGAAACATTATTTATACATGCTCCTATAGATTGTTTGCAGCCTGCACAGCAGGAGATAAAGTGCAAAACGAAGGACCTTGAATAAATAGTGAGAAGCACCTGCAGCTAGTAAATCTGCAATTAGTTGGATGTACAAAAACATTATATCATTGCTTGTCCTTACGGGATGTTGTTTTTCTCCTTTTCTCCTACTGTTCAAACCCATAAGATAGTGTGTGTCACAGTCTCAGTATGAAATTAATAATAGAGTATCAGCACACACCAAGCTTTGGGTGTCCAGGCCTTATTCAAATGGGAAAAACAGCCCCTGTGCTCCCCGTCCATGCCTAGATAAGAGGATAAACAACAAGGAATACCGTCTCGCTGGCATAAACCATTTCACAGGGATAATTGGGCACAGGTGCAGCTGATCAAAAATAGATCAGCTGGCAGTTTATGTTGTTAGAAGTGGCTGGGTCTGGAGACAGAATGAGCTCGACAGCGCAGGCAAGACAGAGCCTGGAAAACAGCCAGGGAAATGGGAATCTCTCGCTGCTCAAAAATTGATCCAGAAAGGTGCCAAATAAGTTTCTAAATAGGAAAAAAACGTTTTTGTCAGAAGCAAAATATAGACCTTGATTAATAAAGCATTTGATTAAATCAGACTGGTACTTTACCATTGGTCGAAAATATAGTTTTATTGTGCCTACCAGCAGTCTGTGAAGGCCCATGACCCACTGAGAGATGAGGATGCCAGGTTGTCCAGGTTAATTGTATACAGTGCCTTGCGAAAGTATTTATTTATTTATTTATTTTCACATTTTGTCATGTTGCATCTTTATGTTAAACTGCTTTAAATTACTTTTTTTGCTTAGTCATTATAGGGTATGGTATGGAAGCCCTTTTCCACCACTGAATAAAAAAAAAGTTTGCTGCATTTTATCTCGCAATTCTGACCTTTTTTCCCTCAGAATTGTGAAGTATAAAATCACAATAGCGAATAATATAGTCAGAATTGCAAGATATAAACTTGCAATTCTTAGAAATGAAATCACAATTGCAAGATATAAATAATTCTGACATTTTTATACATTTATATATTTATACGTTTTTATTATTGATATAAACTCGCAATTGTGAGTTATGAAGTCTGAATTGCGATATATAAAGTCAGAATTGCGGGATATAAACTCACAATTCTGACTTTTTCTCGCAAGTGTACATCTCACAATTCAGAACTGTGAGATATAAACTCGCAATTGCAAGTTATAATAAAGCAATAAGCCCCAAGAAGCCGTGGTTTAGAGTGAATTTATAACAGCTAAGGGGCGTTGTTAGGCACGACGCAAAGAGGACAAATGTAAACAAAGGTGTATGTTTGTAGAGTAATTTACAACAGCTTCGAACGTGGCTCGGCCAATCAGAACTAAGGACCGGCACTATTTGTTTTATAAAATCCGATTCTAAGGGAGAAAAAACTATTTTCTCAGAATTAGGTGTTTATATCTATATACAGGGCCTAAAACTAACTTTTTGCCACACCTGCCAATGGCCGGTGACATGATAAAATTTACTGGCCATGAAACTCTTTTTGCAAAAACAGGCAGTTATTACTACTACAATAACTAAACATATTAACAATGTTTTTGTCCTGCTGGTGCATTTTCCCTCAATTTTACCTATTAATTATAGACGTTCAACATTACAGTATAATTGAAAGCCCTTATTTTTAACATTTAATAGGTTCTGAAATATATAACAACTTTTTATTTGTTTTAATATATAACACAATATATAACACAAAAAAAATCTTCTCAAGTAAAAGTTATTAGAACCGTGTCTAGGGGCAAGCTGGCCATCACTGCTCTGACCTTATCAGTCCGTTTGTATCCTATTATTTGATTCGCTCTTGTCGCTAATGATAGAACAGCTAATCACGATGATCTTGTCTTCGGACAAGATTATTTTATTCGCTTATGTCAGAAACAGCGAATCTCTTTAAAAACTGGCTGTTGTTTTCACTTCATTGCATTGTTATAATTCGTAACAGTTGTACCCGCCCACTGGCGACTGACACTGTTACATGGACTCGCCAATGCTGATTTTTACTCTCATTTGGCGCTTGGCGAGTGTTAATTTTAGGCCCTGTCTATATAACTTGCAATTGCATGTTATAAAGTGAGAATTGTGAGCTTGTATCTCTCAATTCTGACTTTATTTCTCAGAATTGCTACTTTATATCTTATAAACTTGCAATTTTATTTTATTTTTTTCCCCTCATAATTGCGAGTTTAATTCTCACAATTTTTTTTCTTGCAATTGTGAGTTTAAATCATGCAATATTGGGAAAAAAGTTCGGAAAAGGGCTTTCATAGTATGGAGTGTTGATTGATGTGAAAAAAGTAAAGCATTTTAGCATAATGGTTACAACTTGACACAATGTGGAAAAAAAATGAAGTCAAGTCACCTTTATTTATATAGCGCTTTTAACAATACAGATTGTGTCAAAGCAACTGAACAGCATTAATTAGGAAAATAGTGTGTCAATAATGCAAAATGACAATAGTAAACACTAATTTTTCAGTTAAAGGCGGTTCATCATTGAATTCAGTGATGTCATCATCCAGCTCAGTTCAGTTTAAATAGTATCTTTGCAATCATTTGCAATCAAGTCAACGATATCGCTGGAAATGAAGGAGTATGAATACTTTTGCATGGCTCTGTACTCCTGCATGCAGAACAGTGTTGATGAAAATACTTTAAAACTATAGCTTGTCAAGAAAAAAATAAAACTAGATAACTGCATTAAATTTTTAAAATGTATAAACATCCAATGATATAAACAAAAACAATTATATTTTAAAAAGTATGTTTCCACTAAATACAGCTAATAAAAATAGCATATACTGTAGTGTGGAAACATAACGATTAACCGCAGTATAGTTAATTTCTCTATAAAAGTGTATGTGAATCTATGAATAATTGGTTTGAATCAGTGAAAATATTGTTGAATCTGAATGAACCGCATCTACAAAAACCAGTTCTCTGAAGCGAATCAGATAAATATTTGAACTACTGTCATGCTTTTAAAAAATGTCGTCAAGTTAGATGCTTCACTCCTTTTAGTTAGTCTTCCCCAACACTGCTGCATCAGTGATAAGTACAGAAATTTTTCATGCAACTTCATGCAAACCAACCTTCATCTTGAGCATGACTTTTGCCTTATGGTTTCATGGTTATTAGTTAGCTGCCATACTCAATTATGCACTATTAAACCTCTGAATGTTTCAGGCTTGTGGGAATGAAAATAGTTTTTTAATGGTCCATTAAGATTTGACACCAGCTAGCAAACCACATGCTCAAAAAGATGTGGGTGACATTTAGAAGAAGGTTATCTCATTGGCTCAGCACCTGGAGGAAAGGATGAGCCAGCTTGGCTCATTCCACTCTTCTGAACAGCAATTCAGAGGCACAAAACTTGGACGGACTTTACCTATGCTATTACACAGTTGGGTTTTTGGCGGCCTTTAAGGGAAATGCCTCTGTTGACCTATAGTACAGACACAAACTCCCTCCCCGCCGAACCCCTCAGGGCTTCTCTTGCATTACAGACTGAAATGCACCTGTCAGCCAAGCCATTGTGACTCCACCTTCCCCTCGGTTTCTCTCTACTTGAAACCGCACGTCTTGGAAACCGATCGCACAGCTCAGTCTCCTTTGGGCTCTGCTGATTTACTTGACCGACCTTTAGCTAAATATTCATTTTTATTCAGTTCTATTTTATGCTGCAATAACTGCCGTAAAGGCTGACAGTCTAAGCTAAAGAGAACGTAGCTCAAGAGACTTAGCTAGCATTTAGCACACCCATGTTACCGATTTGAACAGTTCTTTTTTTTTTTCTCCTGACTGCATATAAACAATGCTAATATACTTTGTTTTGTCTCTTGGCCAACTTTTTGGCTGTAAGTGGTTTTCAAAGCTTTTGGCAGCAGCACAAGAAAGAAAGTCCTCTGCTGCATCTTTGGCCATTATTCTGACAATTAGCCATTAGAGAGCTGTGAATGCTGTCAGGGCTTCGTGTAATTGCTTTCAGTGATAAATATATATAAAGATGCTCTTAAAAGATCTTTGATTCTCAGCTGTTTACAAAGAGCTGTTTTTATTCCTTTCTCTTCTCTGCTCTGTTTACTTTTTTTGTCCTCCGCTTCCTTAGTAGTCCTTAGAGGCAAAACAAAAAGACTGTAGTTGTCAGACACTCTCTTTCACTCATACACACAGAAAAACTTAGCTGTTTTTTTTTCTTATGACACTGAACCCTATAGGACTTTTTTTTCTCTAATTGGCACCTCTGTTTTTATCAAGATCGAAGGCAAGAACTGGTATTTCTTAGTAAAATATGTTGAGCTGAAATTACCCCCTAAAAAATAAAAATAAATAAAAAAGAAATGTAAATTTATAATACATATCGAATTTATTATATCTGTATGTATGTATGTATGTATATATATATATATATATATATATATATATATGAATAATCTACTTATTAATAATTTATTAATATTTGAAAATATTTGAGAGAAATAGGCCTTTTGTGTACATAGAAAAAGTCTTAGATCTTTGAGTTCAGCTCATGAAAAATGGGGGCAAAAACAAAAGTGTTGCGTTTATAATTTTGTTCAGTGTATATGCTATATATATATATATATATGTGTGTGTGTGTGTGTGTGTGTGTGTGTGTATATGTGTGTGTATATATATATATATATAAAACATGTATTTTCAAATATTTATGCATTATTCAATAAATAGATAAAATTTTTTGCATGTGAATTTTTCATGACAATTCATCTTTCATCAAAACATATTTTTCAATAAAATTTTCATTATCTTTTACTTTTTTGTTGTTCCTACTTTCAATGGTATTTATCATGACTTTAAATCAGTATTTTTTACTTTAAATATTTATGCTGTAATTCATTGGGGTTTTTTTTCAGCATAAAGGCACTAAAACTTATACTTCCATGATGTTTATACTTTTGTAAACCACAATATCACTCACAGTTAGACTAGATTTATTTTTTTCACATTACAGTAGCACAATTGATTTGGGAGGCCTCATTTCCTAGGGAAAATAACATTAATTCTTATTTCCCCCGTCTCTTTTTCTTGCATGCCTCCTTTCGTCTGCTCTGAACCAAGTAGGAGCTTTCTAATAAGTTCCTTTCCCATGCCTCCCTGGGCCTGTTATATTTATAGTGCTCATAATTCATTTACTTAGCTTGAGTTTGCTGACAGATCCCCTTTTGCAGTGCCTGCCATGACCGTTCCCACAAATTTGATTAAATAGAGCAGGGAAGCTTAAAGCTTTGTGTCTGCGTCTGTCTGATCAAAGCCCACTGGCTGTCTCTCGCCTGTCATTCGGGGTCAGTCTTTTCTCACACGCATGGTGAGCTATGACTTCTTACAGTGTGACATCTAGAACCGGCTCTGTGCTTGGAGAAAACAGGCAGTGTTTGCTTTATCCCTGCGATATGCTCTCATGGGAGAGTGTGTATTGGGAGCCATGGCACACTTGCATCTCAATGATGGCTGCTGGAGCAGATAAAGATGAGTTTCTCGTAAAGCCTGGATTGGCCTACATGACATTTTTAAGCATGTGGATGTTTTAGGGGGGCTAAAATATCCATGTGTGTCCCTCTTCCCTCTCTTGAAACATCAATGCGAGTCCCTCTCTACCTTTTTTCCTCTTCCTACCGGCCTCGCTTTCCCTTTTGTGTTTTCTGAGATGATATAGGGTTATGACATGCTTTAGGAGCCAAGGCAGTTTGGATTGAATTTTCAATTAAAAAAAGCAATTCAGCCGCAGTTTGAGCAGAGACCGCTCACTCCTTTTCCGGATGGGAAGATTTGCATAATTGTTCCATAATGCCCAAATTAGCATCTGTAAATCTTAATTTGATAATGCATCTTCTCGTCGAGGTGGCAGGCCGGAATTGGATTATGGGCTCGGATCTCATTAGCGCTATTTGACAAAGGTCGTTTTCATAACACCAGTATGTCATCAACTGCGATTTCGAACAAATTAATTCCTTTTTATAATTCTCTCCTGGCTGGAAGTCATCCCCCCTGCCTCTTTTGTCCTCCGCTGCCATTTTCTGTACATTAAAGGCTTATATCTTATCGCCACACTCGAAAAGTACACACACACACACACACACAATAGGGTAGGTGAGTGAGACACGGTGCTGTTTTTAAATGTATTTTTACTCTTTTACTGGCATTCATGCTGTTGTTGAATCAGCAAAAGTCAGTGTGAGCCCATTTGACTTCTCATCAGGTATCAGTCTTATTTCTGCCGTTTGACTGTTTCCCACAGCGTGACACTGCATCTCTGTTCTCTTTTCTCACAGGAAACAAGGATAAACTGCATCCGCATCGCCCGTAAAGGTGAGTTATTCAATGCTGATGCTACAGAACTTGTTCTTTGTAGAAGTACTATGCAGTTTTGTGTGAAAATGTTTTTTGAAGGACAGAGTGAGGTGAATTGACCTATACAGGGTCGAACTCAACGTACTGAGGGTTTGCATAAATTTAGACTATAAATGTTTCTTACCAGGCATGAAACTATTTTATATAAAAAAATAAATAAATAGTTTTGTAATTATGATTGAGTAATTATGAGTGGGATTTTAAAATACATATTTTTGTCTTTTTGACAATGGGTTTACATTCAGATTTCATTCTATTGAAGGGTCAGTGAAAGAGGCCCTTAAAATGACGATATTACCCCTTTAACATGAAGTGAATGTAAAGAGTTTGTAAACAAGTTAAAGTATGATAGAGTGGCTACAAACAGTAAAACATAAAAATTGCAGTGGATTGGATGGATGTTGTTATTCTGACTGCACAAGTGTAGGTTTTTCAGCTTATTTGCTATTTACTTATTCACAATGTACACAATGTACATGCCTGAGGTCCACAGCTTTTCCAAGTTGTCATCAGCATTCTAGCTCCAGATCCCACAGGAACTAACAGTTTGCTGCAGGCGGATGGTGCGTCAGTGTCGATTTTAGCATCTGAGACATCAAAAGGGGTGGAGATAGACCACTTGAATGGGAGAAATTGTAACGTTAAATATGGCATCTGTAGTTCTGCTTTAGAATTGGTTGCTTTTATTGATACAACTATTGCAGCAGCTGTAGGAAGCCCTGCCTTAGAATAACAAAGGCCAATCACCTTATTGTTTACACTAGAACAGAGTTCCTCAATTAGTTTTTGCCAAGGGCCAAATTCTGCCAACAATACCAAGCCAAGGGCCACTGACCTATATATATATATATATA